CCCTGGTACTCCACTCACTAATCAAAAATATAAAAGTCGTCCACGTTTGACAAAAAAATAAACTAGCACATTTTATGATGGGGTACCAAAAATATATCAGCAAATTATGTCTCCTCGACTCAACCAGACTAAAGAAATTATAGCACATTTTATTTTTCAACTAACTCCAACTTAGCCTGACCCAACCCTTGGACCTGGGACCAAATCCGCTTCCTGACCTAATCCCTCACCCAGGCTCAAGAACCTTAACCTAGCCTGACCTAACTCCGACCAAACTTAGTTCGACCTAACCTAACCTAGCCTGACCTAACCTGACCTGACCTAACCTGACCTGACCAAACTTAGCCTGACCTAACCTAACCTAGCCTGACCTAACCTGACCAAACTTAGCCTGACCTAACCTAACCTAGCCTGACCTAACCTGACCTGACCTAACTTAGCCTGACCTAACCAAACCTAACCTGACCTAACCTAACGACGTGACTCAATTATTTTTTTTGCTCACAAGATTTACACAGGAGATCGAATAGTCCCTGTGCACCTGTCGCACCTGTAAGACCTCCATGATAAATACTAATTAATAGCTACAGGTGTGCACATGGATTTTTTGAATAACCTGTATATATGATTTTTTTTATACACGTTGTTGCTGTTGTTGTTGTGTCTTGCTTGTTATAGTGACCCCCTAATCTCGTTATAGTGATCCCTGACTTTGCTATATTGACCCCCTGACCTCGTTTCACCTGCAATAGAAGTCTTGAGCATCATTACTCAGGTGTTAATGACGTCACGGTCTTTTATACAGTTATGGAGGTAAATCTGTGAAATAATATGCATAAGTAAATAGAGGTGGTAGATGAGTGGGGTGGGGGTGGTAGGTGAGTGGGGGTGGAGGTGGTGGGTGAGGGGTGGGGGTGGTAGGTGAGTGGGGTGGGGGTGCTAGATGAGTGGGGTGGAGGTCGTAGATGAGTGGGGTGGAGGTCGTAGATGAGTGGGGTGGAGGTGGCAAGTGAGTGGGGTAAGGGTGTTAGGTGAGAGGGCTGAAGATTTTAGTCGAAAGGATATCAGTGGTAAACGACAGGGGGCATATACAATCAAATCCTAAGGTAAGTCGACCAACAGTAAGGCGGATTCTCACAGCATCTTCACGAACGACCACCAGTCACCGTACGACCCTTTAAGGCGCTACGACCCAAGCATCTCCGCTGAAAATTTGATAACAACAGCCTCGAAGCCGCCCACATGACCTTTGACCCCTAACCACCATTGACCTTGACCTAACCTTTGAGTGACATAAAGCTCATGGGTTGACCTCTAAGAACCTCCAAGGATATAATAATGTGAAAGTTGGAGGGTGGAGGGTGAGTGGTGTGAACCTTACACTCAAGATGGCGATCATGAGTGAGTGAGTGTGTGTGTGTGTGTGTGTGTGTGTATGTGTGTGTGTGTGTGTGTGTGTGTGTACTCATTAATCCTCAAGGCACTCATTAATCCCCACTCAAGGCACTCACAATCACTCCCACTCAAGGCACTCAAGATCCCTCACCTGCTGGGCACCTGTTAATCCCTCACCAAGGCACCCACACTTCTACCAAGGCACCACATCCCCACCAAAGCACTCATTAATCCCCCCACCAAGGCACCCATTAATCCCCCCAGCCAAGGCACCATTAACTCACTCAAGGCACCCATTAACTCCTCACTCAAGGCTCTCTATTAATCCCCACTCAAAACACTCATTAATCCCCACCCAAGGCACCCATTAATCCCCACTCAAGGCACTCCATTAATCCCCACTCACAAGTACCCACATCCCCACTTACACCCATTAATCCCCACTCAAGGCACTCATTAATCCCCACTCAAAGCACTCAATAATCCCCACTCAAGGCACTCATTAATCCCCACTCAAGGCACTCATGAAACCCCACCCAAGGCACTCATGAAACCCCACCCAAGGCACTCATTAATCCCCACTCAAGGCACTCATTAATCCCCACTCAAAGCACTCAATAATCCCCACTCAAGGCACTCATTAATCCCCACTCAAGGCACTCATTAATCCCCACTCAAGGCACTCATTAATCCCCACTCAAGGCACTCATTAATCCCCACTCAAGGCACTCATTAATCCCCACTCAAGGCACTCATAAAGGAAGATAATCCCCCAATATAATAACCTTAATTACTAAGGGGATTAATGTACAAAAAACAAAAAAACAAAAAAAAAATATTACAAAAACACAAGAGAGAATTTTGTCAAGGAAAAATATTCAGCAAACATATAATGATAATGGCGTGCCACAGCACTTAAGAGCGCCACTAACTTCTTCACAAACACATTATAATGGCGCTGATAAAACCGTGAGGGGTGAGACCATTGATGATGATGATGATGATGATGATGATGATGACAGTAATAATAATAATAATAATAATAATAATAATAATAATAATAATAATAATAATAATAATAACAATATTCTAACACAACCACAATGCACCAGCTGACTTACAACTTGTCATAACACATAACTGAGGTTTAGGTTTAGGTTAGGTTTGGTTTAGGTTTAGGTTAGGTTTGGTTTAGGTTAGGTTAGGTTTGGTTTAGGTTAGGTTTACTTTAGGTTAAGTTTAGTTTAGGTTTGGTTTAGGTTAGGTTTAGGTTACGTTTGGTTTAAGTTAGGTTTACTTTAGGTTAAGTTTAGTTTAGGTTTGGTTTAGGTTAGGTTTAGTTTAGGTTAGGTTTAGGTTTTGGTTTAGGTTAGGTTTACTTTAGGTTAAGTTTAGTTTAGGGTTTGGTTTAGGTTAGGTTTAGGTTAGGATAAGTATGATCGTATAGCTGTTTAGACATAAATTATGACAGCGGTTGACAAGTGACCGTGACACCTGACAGCAAGTGTTATATTTCACCCTCACTTTAACAGGGAGTGACATGACAGCGTATAGGGTATGACAGCAGGTGACACTTCAACACAGTGTTTGACATGAACTAACGCATAAACACAGATGTCATGAGCAAATGATATCTTAACGTTGATAGCAGATGATAACCCCCACAAAAGCTCTGACAGTAAATGATACCATGGCAGCTTGATATAGGACGTGGCAGCTTGATATAGGACGTGGCAGCTTGATATAGGACGTGGCAGCTTGATATAGGACGTGGCAGCTTGATATAGGACGTGGCAGCTTGATATAGGACGTGGCAGCTTAATATAGGACGTGGCAGCTTGATATAGGACGTGGCAGCTTGATATAGGACATGGCAGCTTGATATAGGACGTGGCAGCTTGATATAGGACGTGGCAGCTTGATATAGGACGTGGCAGCTTGATATAGGACGTGGCAGCTTGATATCTTGATAAGGGGGATAACAGACTAGCTAAGGCCCTGACAGCGAAGGGTTTAAGGGCTGATCAGTTCTTGACGGACTCCACTGGATATCTTGCCGGGGCGTTGGACAAGAGTTAATATCATCACTAATTACTATACCTGTAGTTGATATCTTAGCATAGATTTTTTAACAGTAAATGGTATAAAAAATAGACGTTGACAGTAGTTCTTAATAGTTTGGTAGCCTTTGACAGCAGGTTTAAAGTAGATGAAATTTTTGACAGATTCATGATAGCCTGTGATGCCTGATACACATTTTACCATCAAATATCATGAAAGAGGTTTTGATAATATTAATTTAACATTGATTTTGATACCAGGTGAAACTAAACATAATTTTAACAGATAATATTTAACATTTGATATAATTTAAATTTTTTTTATTACATCTTTATTTACACTAATTATTAACCTATTAAACTTACAAAAATTAACATCTAACTATATAAAACAAAGTTAATCTAGAGTTGGTATCTGCGTTAATGTGACACAGACGACATGCTAAAAGACACAGAAAATATATAAAGAATTAATTGATATTTAACTATAATGAGACAGACCGCGTTCAGTGCTGGGGTTAGGTTAGGTCAGGTTAATAATAACAACACACCTGTAATTAGTTAGTCTAGCCGTAATTAGTCAACATTCACCTCATTTACATACCTGAGCTGATAACTTATTTACAAATCTTATATTAATTCATTTTCAAGAACAAGATAAACACACTAACCTAACCTAACCAAACTATTGTATTAGACTTTAATGGTTACGTCGAGGTTAACTTACTGTAGGTAATTGGACTGTTTCGTTTGTCATGTGTTTAATTATAAGATCACTTGATGTTATATTCGCCTTGATGTGTGTGTGTGTGTGTGTGTGTGTGTGTGTGTGTGTGTGTGTGTGTGTGTGTGTGTGTGGAGTGATAAAGTGTTTGGTTGGTTGATAGACAAACACACAGGGACTTTAGTTGGTATATATAAGAGATATATTTCGTTGGTATATCACGAATGTCTTATCTGCTCAAGTGTCTCATGTTCAAGTGTTTAGTAAATGTTGATATTTTATACGGAATGTTGAATGAGTTAATTTTTTATGTTGAAGGAGAATTAGTCTTTATATTTCTCTAATCATTGTGTTACGTGAATGAGTTATATCATAGTGTGTTACTTTTATTCAAGTGTTACTTTTTACATACGTTTTGTTTTTTAGATACTAGTGTTATTTAATGTCACTTTCGGGTACTCTTGAGTATATACCTGGTTGATATATGAGGTGATCAAGGTGTCAGTACATTAATTAATTTAGTCACCTGGCGAAGCTTATGGCAGCTGGTATTCTGTTTAAAGAGGTATTGGCTAATGATCCGTGAGAACATACTGCTGTTTCCCGTTATGCAGGAGAGGAAGCCAACATCACCACATATACACTGCTGCCTCTTGTGACCCCCACCCCCCCCATACTAGCATCTCCGAGCATCCCTCTGGCCAGATTGTGACCAAGAGCATTACCACTGTTACTCAGGCTCAGCTGGCGTCGTAGGAGTGACCAGCTGGGTTAGCATGATGACCAAGGTGGCAGTAGCGACAGGTGGTAGAGCAACTCACCAAATGTCATCATAAAGTCTCCATAAGGACTGTCTGGTGGGGTAGCCATGGCGGAGGTGGTGGTGTGATGGTCGGCGGTGCTGACGGAGGCGCGGGGGAAGGTGAGGCCCCGATGGTTGTTGGGTTGTGGGCGTGGAGAGGGAGGGGAGGAGAGAGAGAGAGCTGTTAGCACTAGTGGCCACCACACATCCGGGGAACACGCGAGCGAGCACCACACACACACAGCACACGCCTGCCAGCAGCACACTGCCCGTCTCCCGCGCCGCCTCCCTGCCCCGCTAACTCTCTCTCTTTCTCTCTCTCTCTCTCTCCTCGCGCCTCCCCTGTCAACCGCATCTCCTCCCACCAGCACCTTCTCTCCGTCCTCCAACACATTTCGCCCTCCTATTCTCAACAGGCACCTACTGCCATCTTCTTGGTGTCAACGCGCATCTCCTCTCTCTCTCATGTGCCACCAATATCCATCTTCACCATCATCACAACCCTCAACACATCTTTATCTGTCTCCACCGCCCCATCACCTAACTCAACAAAACGCTTCCAGCACGCATACCACCACACCACCACCACCACCACCATCACCACCACCATCACCATCTCTGTTTCTACTTCCACCACACCACCACCACCACCACTATAACCACCACCATAACACACCACCATCACACCACCTTCTCTGTTTCACCACCCTGCCACCACCACCACACCCACCACCACCCACCACCACCACTATAACCACCTACAGCACCACCATCCCACCCCTCTGTTCTCACTACCGCCACCGCCCCACCACCACCACCACCACCACCACACCCTGTACACCACCACCTTCCTCACTGTCTACCACCTTCCCTCACTACCATCACCACCACCACCACCACCACCACACACCACCACCCCACCCCTACCCACACCACCATCTCTGGCTACCACCACTACATCATTTTACTCTCCCACTACTGTAATGTTATTCCATGTAAGTCTTGAGGATCACTTGAAGATTCGCCCCTCAGCTTATTTTACCTGGGGGGGGGGGGTATTAAGTTAGGTATCAAGACATCGTACTCAAGGGGTTAAAACATCGTCCTCAGGGATTAAAACATCGTCCTCAGGGTTTAAAACATCGTCCTCAGGGGTTAAAACATCGTACTCAGGGGTTAAAACATCGTCCTCAGGGTTTAAAACATCGTACTCAGGGGTTAAAACATCGTACTCAGGGGTTAAAACATCGTACTCAGGGGTTAAAACATCGTACTCAGGGGTTAAAACATCGTACTCAGGGGTTAAAACATCGTACTCAGGGGTGAAGACATCGTACTCAAGGAAGTGAGTCTCAACACATTCCACCAAATTCCACTAAATTAGATAAATAAATCCATATAATAAATCACTCCAAATTTTAGTACTAACTAGAGTCCATCTCACTAACTACGTCATCAAACTAGAGTCCATCTCACCAACTACGTCAACAAACTAGAGTCCATCTCACTAACTATGTCATCAAACTAGAGTCCATCTCACTAACTACGTCATCAAACTAGAGTCCATCTCACTAACTACGTCAACAAACTAGAGTCCATCTCGCTAACTACGTCAACAAATAGTTCTAAAGTGGTGGAATTTAAGTCTTCATAATTAATTCACTAATGACCTAAATTTGTTTATTAGTTAATGTTTTTAATTAGTTATGTTCTTTTCCCATTAACTAACCACAAGGAGTAACATCGGAATTACTGAGTATATATATGCCACTACATGAACCTGACCTCATGAATTGACCTGACGTGACCTGACCTAATCCAAACGTGACTGTCCCTCGAGGTACCCACACTGCCAGCCGTCCCGTGACAATATTACAAATAGTTACGATGGATTGTTGTCGATATTGGACGAATTGTCAATAAAACCAATACAAACAAACACGAGCTAGTGATATGTTTAATCCACCATCATGGCCGGGTGATCATGGTAGAGGGGGATTAACTTGGTTTGGGGGGGGGGGGATTGATCAGTTTTTATAGATCAGTGTCTTGTGTGATCACCTTAAGCCCTCACTAACCCTCAGGTAAAGCTAATCCTTCAGTATTTGTCGTCGATAAGTTTCAGGTGTTCTCGATTATATAATTTTTTCATATGGTGTGATTCCCTCAATGGCACTGTACCACTATTGCGCGGTGAAATTCCTCATTCCCTAGAGCCACTGCCTACCAGACCTCATTTATACCCCGGACTGGCACTCTGAGTAACTCCCTCCCTCAGTGTTTCTCCTACGTCATATAACACCATCAGTTTACATCATCTGGCATCATATTTCATCGGTCACTGGCAAGGGGACTCCTCGGTGCAGAGAGTTGACAACGGCACTTGTCTGGTCTCTCCCTGCGGTTTCTATTTGTTAAAAAAATATATCCACCTTACCAACAGATGACCTTGTAGACACAGGTCACATCACACTGCCGGTGTTAATGACTGTAGCAGGTACAGACGCACCTGAGGCTCTTAACTGGGACCCAAACCCACCTGGCGAGCGACGCGATCCATCACAACATATTGACTTTGGCAACAGGTTTGGATAACTCGCGGCACGGTTTCATATCCCACTCAAACCCCCAGATTACTGACGTTACTGAGACACACATTGATGAGAACAGTGAGTGAGACAGAGGCATAAGGAGTACAGTACACCCAAGAGCTGTACACCTGAACGTAACTCTTGCCACTTGTAGTAAACAACAACAATAAAGTCGAGAGATGTTGGTGCAGTATTTACAAGTCATCATGGTCAGCAAACAATGGCCCATCACACACACTGGAGGGGAGGAGGAAATGCATTCTGGCCGCCGGAACTTGCTCGCAACCCGTGAAATTTTACCCACATTTCCTGCAGAAGACTTGGTCGAGGGAGCGACTTATGATAAAACCATTGGTGTTTATTTACTTCTGCTGCTTCTTACTCTTCCTCCTTCTAAGACGAGAACCTGATTTTACTCCTTATGTCTTCAAAATCTACTTTGTTAATTTAGTCACTAGTAAGAATTGTTTTCTCAGCAATAAGGACATAAACACACACGAATACCTGAAACTGCTGTATTGGTCTTGGAGTTTATGTTCATTGGTGGCTATAACCTATTGACGAAAACTGTAGGATTTTTTCTCATTCAAAGTAAACTAAAAAAAAATTCAAGACAACGCTGAAGAGAGTGAAACAATGGCGGTGATGGAGACGACAGGATCCTACACACTGATCGCTTCTTTACCGTAAAATTTGCATCTTTCCTCGACTCGGATAACTTTACTATCATCACAACCTTTATAACTCACAACACTGATTAACAACATGAACACAACTTACCTTTACGAGCGGATGGGTAGGGGAAGGGGGGTGTCCACTGGCCTTCCTTGTGTCCTTATTGCTCTGATAATTCCGACACCTGGAAACATTATTACCAGTATTTCCCAGTATCCTATAAAACACACACACACACACACACACACACACACACACACACACACACCTATAGATTGTGTCGTCAGTGAAATAATAAAATCACTGTCAACCTCCGTGCCACCATTACTGTCACTGTCATTGTCATTGTTCGCTGACATGGACGTCTTGTTAGGCTCTTTTTGTTGACGTCATCACCACACACAGTATGTAAACAATATATACTGAACACATGTCACCCTATGGCCGTGGTGAGTGACGCGCTGTGACCAGGAGTTACTGTCACTCGGTCATGAGGAACAACACGTCATGAGTTACACACACACACACACACACACACACACACACACACACACATCTGTAAACATTCCCAGATACAAACAAACAATAACACTCACATAAATAAAAAAAACCAGATAAATAATAACACATAAATGTATAAATGAATAAAAATGTTTACAAGTCATTTTGTTCCCCTGCAGTTAACACCTGGCTCACCTGTCTCCTGTTATTTACTTTATATCTCATTTATTCTTCTCTTATCTCATAATTTATCAACATATATATACTAAGCTGTGGTCAGAAGAACACTGGTGGCTTCCTGTTGACCCCTTGTGACCTCTCGTGACCCCTTGTGGCCATGGTGGGCAGGCGCAGGTCAAGGGGTGGGGGGATGGGGGACTTTTTGCATATATAGGCCTACGATACTCCAGCATTTTGTCTATTGTACTGCACCACCACCTTCCTAGTCTCTATACTAGCGGTCATCTTCAAACCTGGCTCTTAAATCTTAAAGGCTCTTACGTTGAATTTTCCTCACAAGTGGAGATATAAAAACAAAGGGGAGGGAGAGGGGGAAGGGTGGGAAGGACGAAGGGTAGGAGGAGGGATAGATGAAAGAGAGAGGTATAGGAGGGATGGGAGGGAGAGTGGTGAGGGAGGGATGGGAGGGAGAGTGGTGAGGGAGGGATGGGAGGGAGAGTGGTGAGGGAGGGATAGATGAAGGAAAGAGGTAGGAAGGATGGGAGGGAGAGTAGTCAGGGAGAAAAGGAGGGAGAGAGATAATATATGCCCCCTCCCTCCCTGGAAACTATTAACTAGCCACCATTTAGAAGACAATAATGATGACGTGGTTGATCATTAATGAGTCGTCACCACCCCGTAGACCACACCCGGACGGACGCCTGTGGTAAGGAGAGGTCCTTCATTATTGCTAAGATTCTTGAGTCTTGGTGATGTTTCGTTGGCTTTCTCCTTCCTTGTTCTCTTTCCTCCTCCTTCTTCCTCTTCGTACTCGTCTTCCTATACTCTTCTTCCTCCTTCCCCCCTATCTTACCCTCTGTGCCGTCCCCCCCCCTCCCTCCCTCTCTGAGTACTCTGGTATAATCACCGCCCACTGTGCCGCCCACTGCGCCGCCCACTACACGCCCCTACAGGCAGGTGTGGGGGATGAGAATAAGTGAGGAGGAGGGTGGGAAGTAAGGGAGGGAGGAGAGAGGTGGGGAGGGGAAGAGATGAGGGAGGTGGAGGGTGGGGAGGAGTGAGGGGAGGAGAGTAAAGGGAGTAGGGAGGGGGAGGAGAGGCCAGCATAGGCACAAAGAACCTTGACCCAAATTTTTACAGGCTTTTATTTTGTTGTTGATGATTTCAGTGTCAAATTACAGTGCACACACACACACACACACACACACACACACACACACACACACACACATGGTGGTATACACGCCTACCTCTCACTGTGTCCTGGGTTTACCTCTTGGCTCAGGTCTGAAGTGAGAAGGGTGTTATCCGCTGTGAC